GGTCTGCTCATTCGAAGGCATATGGCAGGATAATTTAGCACGATAAATTAGTCCAAAATGCTAGCAGGGTGCTATATAGTGGGAAAATGGCGAAAAATGAAGTGAAACGGTCAAAAACTTGCAAAGAAAAGCCTTCGTTCTCAATGACTCAAAAAGCAATTTTGGACGAGTTTCCGTAGGCATCTTGCCAATAACCGCTACGGTAGATACGGCTGCACGTATGTACTCATATATCCATGCAGCACCGCGGCCGCTTCATCAATCCTTCGCTTCATATTTTACTTCGCAAATGAAGCAATACAAGCGCCAGGTACGGTCGTCCATTTGTGGGCAGGAGGGGTCTGTGGGCGTCTGGGTCGGTATGTTGCAGCTTGATAGAGTCTTATAAAGGTACCTTTCTTAGGGGAAGGCGCTACGCAGCACCTGCTCAGAGGCGCGGAATTCCGTCCTGTCAGGCGTATTAATCCTACTCGTATTAGGGATTTACCGTGCCAACTGCCTATAAGCAAATGTGGTCTTAAGGTCCAGAAAGTTAGCACTCCCCCTTCCACTACACGGACCTCTCTACGCAGTATTGTATAATCATTTTCGTACGTATAAATTGGATTTATCTAAATTGTAGTGCTACTTTGTGGATTTAACATGTCCACGTCTTTTACAAATCCGGAAATCCGAGCAATTTTGTGCCCTGATCTGCTCTCCAACGCCGGAGCTTTTTTCACCACGGGTTCAGCAGGCGTCTCCACCCGAACAGCTGTGGCTTTCCGTCTAAGGGCACGTGCGTAACGGAAACTAGACTACTTCCTTGAAATCAATAAAAATAAAAAATGAAAACAAAGTTCAATTCTAAAAATTTTAATATAAGTAAATCATACCACAGTTTTGAACATCGATGTTTCAATCATTACAAAAGTACAAACTAAGAAAATAAAAAATTTTGAATCACATTACTGTTGTCCCTTATTATAGCAAGAAGCAAGTCTTATAAATGTTCCACCTTACTGGAATATCGCCTGTCTGAGTTCGGCTGCTGAACGGCTTGGCTGTAACGGATACCCACGATTAGGTGCTTAGAACGTCGTATGTAGCACGGTTGGAAATCAGATGTTCATGTGCTAGTTGAGCAACCCTAGGAGCGGAGTTACTTTGAGATCCGGGGCCAGAGACTAGATATGAGCCAGTCTTTCATCCTCCTGACCGTGTCTCACGTCGCCCTGGAAGGATAGACATCTCGGTTGATTGGGACGGGAGCCAACCGGAGCTCGATCCCAAGGTTGTGGAAGGTGCAACTTCCACACCTGTCCTGACGAGTTATAGGTGTCATTATGTTTCATATTATATTGTTGAATATTGTCTCTAATATTGTTGGATGAAAGCAAATAGGTTTACATGGCTAAAATGCAGTTTTTGGGCTTCTTCTGAGTTTTTTCTTGTGTCGCTACTGTGACAGTGAACAGAACTACCAATGAGCAGCACTCTTCTACAGTAGTGTATAGAATTGTCCGTCATCTACCAGTATCGTGTGCTAGTACGTCCCTTTTCGAATGAATCAACAAGGTTTAGGTTCCTGAAGCGATATCACGACACCCTCACGCGGCTATTCAATGGGAATCCACCTTATACAGTCGTCATCCTCGCGCCTGATAGGAACAATCGGAGGACGCGGACGCGGGTGAATCAGCGACCGCGTCAGGAGTAGCAAACTGTCGGCGGCGCGGGGCCAGCTACTATGCGTCCTCTCACTCCCTACGCGCTCGACACGCGCCGCATAGTACTCTGCCGCCTGCCCATTGACGGCTGGCGCGGCGATCAGCTGATTATCGACTCGACGAAGCCGATTTTTCTCCAAAAATCGTCTTATTTCGGCCGGCTTTCGAGAAGGTGTGTTACTTTTTTTCTTTTCTTGATAAATTGTATTAGTGTCTTGCTCTTTTTGTTGGTTTGGTGTAATTTTTGTTGTTTTAAATGCTTTTTTCGCTATTGTTTTTGCATTTTCATGGTTTCGTCTGTTTTTTCCCCATTTCTTCCCCCTATTTGGCTTCTTTTTCATTACTGTGTCACTGATGTGTTCCTGTCTTTGCTGAGAACACTCTCTGACACGGTTTTGAAGACTAGAGCCGCTTTTACCCGTTTCTTCAAAAACAACCCGTGTTCTTTCAAGCTGCCCGTAAAATTGCCGGCGGTGAGTATTTCAATTTATTTTTTGTTTATTCTTTTTTTGTATGATGTATTCTTCATTACTATACCATTGTTGTGTTCTGTGGTACGCGAAGAACACACTTTGGCATGGTTTTGGAGCTTGTGTTTTTTAAAAATGAGCTTTTTTTCATGAGTTGTGCTAGTGCCCGTTATTTAAGGCGGTCGGTGAGTGTTTCGCTCACGGAGCGCAATAGACGTGGTATACAAATCAGAAGTGAGTCGCCACACGTTGTGCCTCGGTAGCATAGTGGGTAGTGTTACAGAATATAGTATACGAGGTCAAAGGTTCGAATCCTTGGTGGACGTGCTCTTTTGCATTTTTTCAGCAGTGCTCTCTGAAAGGTTCAACACAGCCTAGCATTATCAGAAAATGCTATGAAGAGGGCTTTTCTTAACTGAGCCATTCTCGCCTTCAAAATGCAAAAGAGCACGCCCACCAAGGATTCGAACCTTTGACCTCGTATACTATATTCTGTAACACTACCCACTATGCTACCGAGGCACAACGTGTGGCGACTCACTTCTGATTTGTATACCACGTCTATTGCGCTCCGTGAGCGAAACACTCACCGACCGCCTTAAATAACGGGCACTAGCACAACTCATGAAAAAAGCTCATTTTTAAAAAACACAAGCTCCAAAACCATGCCAAAGTGTGTTCTTCGCGTACCACAGAACACAACAATGGTATAGTAATGAAGAATACATCATAAAAAAAAAGAATAAACAAAAAATAAATT